CCCCACTACTTTCAAAAAATCAAATCTTTTCTGATGTGAAAGATCAGACAATGTTGTAACCACAAAGTATACTAAGATATTGGCTTTTGATACCCGTTGTTAAGAACAACTAAAGAAGAAAGAGAAAAGGGAGAGAAAATACAAGAATTTAACGTGGTTCGGCACACAGTATATGTACCTACGTCCACAACTACATTAGGAAAATATTTTATTCACTGGATGATTTTTAAAGTTTTACAGGACATTACTTATATAGTAATAATAAAATAGAAATCGTTTAAGAGTAAATAATGTGAGACTAAATAAGATTACACTATCTCAACAATAATTACTCCTGAAAAAAAGATGTGAACCACTAAACACAAATGAAAATTAAATTTAATAGCAACCACCATAGTTTCAGAAGTCAAATGTGACAACATCTCTTTTAACTGTTCTGATTTTGTTCCATTCTCAAAAAATTTAAGTCAGCTAGATGAACTATATCTAATTGGTGAGTTTTTTTATTTTATTTTAATCGCTTTCATATTTATCTATGTATGCTACTTTATTATTTTAAAACAATATTTGACACATGTTCAGTTAGATGTCATTGGTCATATGGTTGAGAAAAATAATCCCAAAGACGTAGAAAAAAAAATGGAAAGAAAAGCAAACATATTAATTTGATTCTCAAAGATTTAGAATGAGTATTATTTTGTAACATATTTTAATGGCTAAAGTATTTGTTTAATATTTTTTCTCTTTCATTACTTTATACTAATTAAGATTATATTATATCAAATTTGTTTCATAGGAATCAGAGAATTATTTGACTTTATGGAAGGAGTTTGCTGATCAAATGGTTGATTTTCTAAAGAATGAAAATTCTAATGCTTTACCTATTATAATTATTCAATTATGTAAAATGAAAATATTTGGTGTATGATTCTTTATCTATATTGAACTATTTTTAATTGTGTGATAGTTATTATTATCAACAAATTATATTTCATCGTTATTTCAGGAACTTTAGGCATATCAAATACTTATGATGGGACAAAGTTGTATATCAATCCTAATATAAAAGAGACTGTTGATTACAAGAATAAGTAAGTAGTTTAATTATTTTTTATTTATAGAGACATCATTATGTTTTGCATGATGTTTTCTATTTTTGTTAACTTATAAGCTATCCAATTTGTAGTATAGGATGAATATGAATGATGCAGGTATAAGTCAAGTATTAAGTCAGATGTCTGGGTACTCTTCTGTTTCAATGGAAGATGATTTACTCCAAGCTCAAAGCATGACCGTACATGAAATAATTGAGACAAATTATGTATGTTTTATATTGAAATAATGAAGTGAAATGCATATAATTATTTTTAAAATATATAAAATTCATAATTTGAAATTTCACTTTGAAAAGGTTGGATTCGATGTTGTTCTTGCCCAAGTTATTAAAATTGAATATGAGAAGGGATGGCAATATAACTCATGTAACAAGTGTTTCAAGAAGTTGAAAGAAAATGGACCTAAGTTTTTTTGTGAAAATTGTTAGAGATATATCATTTCTACTTCCCGGTATAAACATTACTACTTGTAAACTATATATTCAATTTAAAACTAATTTAGTAAAATTTTTAGTGGACTTATGACCAATTCTTTTTTCTAGGTTTAAGTTGTATGTTAATGTTATAGATTCTACTAAATCTACTTCTTTTACAATATTTGAAAATTCCCTATCACAATTCATTGGAAAGTCTGCAAAACAATTGAAAATATAAATGACTGAGGTTGATTGTGTTGATATTGATTTCATTTAATCTTTTATATTTGTTTTAATCTATAACATTTTTAAAATAGTTTTTTTACTCTTATAGGCAAATGTGAATAATAGATTTCCTCCTGAGATTGATACAATATTATTCAAGTTTTTTCTATTCAAAGTTGAAATTACTCAAACAAATTTAAATGTCAATTGGGTTTCATACAATGTTAAGAGACTTGTTGATAGTGTTGATGTAATTGACCAGTTTAAATCATTGCACAGTATTAAGGTATATTTTAAAAATTATTAATGATTGAAATAAAGGTGTCAAAATAAAATAATTAAATCTTGCATATTAGTGGAACGATGATGAAGTAGAAGGAGATTCGGAGGATAGTTTGTCAACTCAAAATGCTGACAGTTTGAAGGTTGTAATTTGTTTTCAATAAATTTAATCATTTTCAAATTGAAATGAAATTTTATTTGATAAATTTATTTATTGTCAAATCTCTAAAAAAAATTGTATTATGTTTGATGCATGAAGACTTTGAATGAAGGTGCTAGCTTAACCATAAGTAATGTTGAAGATGAACAAATAATTGATATTACAAGGTAGTAAATGAATTGACTTCAAATAAGTAACAATATTTTAAAAAGTATTGGTTTAAATGTTGATTATCATTTAAATTGTGTTAGGATACCTAAAGAGTTTATGTTAAAGTAGCTTCGGGTACTAAGCAACCTTGCAAAATGATAATGAATGAGAATGAAATGAGTCTATCAGTTGTTAAGGAGTCACAAACACAAAGTTCAAGGACTAAGCCTTTAAAGAAGGTCATCATTAAGAAGGAGTTAAATGTTTAATTTTCATTGATTTAATTTTCTTTTTATTTATATGTGACTTTTTTTTGTTTCCTAATATTTAGTTATAAAGTTATTTGCTGATATTTTAATATATCTAAACCATGATATTCTCTACCAATATTATGTGAGTAGACAAGATTTTGAAAATATAAATTTAACTTTTAAGTTTTTTTTAAAATTTTTTTACAGCATTTCAATTTAAGTCTTTCATTATCATTGTGAAATACATTCGTTATATTAGTCAGGTTATATTAGTGCAATTAGCATAGTTACCTATTTTTTTGTAACTTTAGTATTAATATATTAATACATTTATTTTTGTAAAGTTTAAGGCCATTTTGAATTATTTAATTTAAATAACTTAAATGCATTCATTTCTAATTAGCAATTTTGATATATTCAAGAGGTACATCAGCACCTTTTTTTTAATTAGCAATTAAATGAAATTTTGAATTTTAATATAAATAATTTACTTTAAATTTTATTCTTGAAAACTGATAATTTGTACATAATTAATGAGAAATAAAGGAATGAATGAATAAGAATTGATGAGTATATATATATATTCTAAATATAATGTATGTTACATTTGAATCTGTTATAAATAATCAAATGAAAGCTCTATGGACAGACTTAAAATATTTAATAAAGATAAAAAAATTATATTTTATTTAGTGTGTATATATATTAACATATTTGTATGTTTTTTTTTAACTTTAATATTAACATATAGGATCATTCACGAAGAATAGTAGAATAAATAAATTATAATTAATTAAATTATATATTTGAAAGGTCATACAATAATGAAATAAGAATTAATATTAATCATTTCGTATTTGTAACTTTAATATTAACATATTAATGCATTTATTCTTACAAAGGTTACAACAATTTTAAATTTTCATATTAATAATTTACTTTAAATTTTATTATTAAAAACTGCTAATTGGTATCTGATTAACGAGGAATAGTAAATTAAATGAATAAATTTTATTATTATTTTAACTTTTGATATTACTATATTTGTTATGTAACTAAACTAGTTTATATAAAATTAATTAAAAAATTCTTGACTATGTGTATAGTATGTATATATTAAAAAAAATATTTAAAATTAATTTAAATATTCTATTTCTTTCTTTCAAATAACTAATATTTTTATTAATAATAATATTAACATATCCTAATTAATTTTAAACTTTTAAATAGTTTAAATATTATTATAAAATTTTATAAAGTTATTTTTATCATAATATTTATCTATGTTTTATATGTGACTCATAAATTTTATATTATATCAACATGTGTAATTTTAATTCATATAAAGATTAATTTTTGTTTTCAATAAAATTATTTTTCTCTTTTACTTTGTATTTAAATCTTAATTAAAATTTTAAAATATATAAAGCATATAAAAATTTACATATAAAAATTTATTATCTTATTTTTTAATCTATTTATATTTGATATTATTCAATATAATATAATTTTATTATTATATATTTTTAATATTTAAATTATAATTTATAATATTAATATATACTAATATACAATATAAACAAATTTTTGACATATAAATATATTTATTAATTTATAATTAAATTATTATTAATAATATTTATAATATTTAAAGTCACATATAAATTATTTTTAACTGTTATATTTATTTTTTATAGATAATTTATTTTAAAAATTAATCAAAATTATTATTTAATATTTAATAAATAAATATAATAAGAGATTAAATTATAATATTTATACATGACAGTGATTTTAAAAATACAAAATAATAATTTTTTTATTCTTAAATTGTGTGTTGTATAATTTTATAAGATATATAATTTTATTCTTTCAATAATTTTTGTCTTAAAAATTTTAAATATATTAAAAAAATTATTATAAATCCTTATGTTGTGAAATATATGTATACATATTAAATTATTACAAATTAATTATAAAAGTATTTTTAAATTTTATAGAATTAAATTTATAATTTTATAAATTCAAATAATATTTGAATTTAAATCTTTTACTTTTAAAATTAATTTACAAATATTTAAAAATATATTATAAATATTTATACAATATATGAAATAATTTTATTAATAATAATATTAATATATACTAATTAATTTTAAAATTTAAAATAATTTAAATATTATCATAAATATTTTATATAATTATTTTTTATTTTATAATTATTAATTATAATATTATACTATAACATAATAATTTATTATACACGGGTCACCAACCTAGTTATTTTAATAATAAATGTACATGACAATTAATGGGAGGGGGAATGACAGCTAATACGAAACATAGAAAGTAATTGACACGTTTATGGAACTGAGTAGTAAGAAGTTCCGCTTAAAAAGCCATGGAAACGCCCACAGAGAAAAGTGAGAGACCATTGAGAATGGCAAAGTTTAGTTTAAGGTGTGGTGCTTCGGATTTCGTCTACTATGGAGTTCTACTTTGTCATCTGTTATCACAGCTTTTCTTTCAACTTACATGGTGTGGCTCCACAGTACAGTTCCTTCCTGGATTCGAAGGACCCCTTCCTTTTGTTCTTGAAACGGGGTCAGTTACATTATAGCTATAGCAACAAGGATATGGTTTTTAATTGAAATTGAAATGATGTTATCGAGTTTTATACACATGCATGTTGTGCATGTTGAATAGGTATGTGGGGGTGGGTGAAGGAGAGAATGTTCAAGCCTTCTACTACTTCATTGAATCAGAGAGCAACCCAAAGAAGGATCCTCTCATGCTTTGGCTCACTGGGGGTCCTGGTTGCTCTTCCCTCTCCGGCCTTGTCTTTCAAATAGGTATTATACCAACTTTGCTTTTCATTTTTTCATTGATCTTTCAATAGAGTATCAAAGGCAGAACCCCCCGCCACCCAAAAAAAATAATAATAATAATTTCCTTTGTTTTACCATTTAACAAATAATATGTTTATAAATTATAAATAACTATTAAATTTTATATGACATACTTATAACTATGATTAATTTTATATTATATAAAAATATTAAATAATATAAGTGTCTAAAACTTGAAACTTTATCTCAATGGATCTAACTCTTTAAATTTTATATGTATATATCATTTTTTCAAGTTTATTTGTATTTTTATTTCTCTATTATAACTAATGTTTTATTTTGACTTTAAATATTTTATATTTCAATTTAATTTTTAATATCTATAATAAAATATTTTCATTGATTTCCTTTTAGAAATATTAAATTCTCATTTTGTTTTCAAAATTATTATGAACTAATTGAATTAAACTATATTCAACTTTTCTTTACTAAAAAATTTATAAATTAAAATATTATTTATATTTAAAATTATTTTTAAAAATATTTACCATCCTTGAAATCTTAGCTTCACATCCTAAATAAAATCATTCAACATTCTAACTTTGAAAGTTTTTATATAATTTTATATCTCAAACACGTCATAAATCTTCAATTATTTAAATAAAAATTTAAGGATATCAGAGTTTTGTAAAAAGAATAAATTGAGAATTTGACTTTAATTTTTGTATGATAAAAAATATAATATTTTTTAAAATTTATTTTTCCACCGCAACCAAAATCATCTACCTCCGTCCTTGGGGAACATGTTGACTGACCTGTTACGCTAAGTTTTAAAATATTGCAAATTAGTCCTTAGAAAACGAATTACCCATTTCTCACAAGTTAGTCAAATAAAAACAGTGCATCCGTAACCTTTGTTCAATATCAACCTTTAATTATAACAAAAATTACTTCTATGGTTTATATTTCCTTGTCCAACGTAAAAACAGTATTTAACGACTGACACAAAAACTTTGAAGTAAAAGGAAAATACACTACTCGTTTATGTTTTAGTATCATCATCATGATAGTTTATTACACGAAAATTTCAATTCATACCAACAAATAATTGTTTCTACTTTTCATGTTCATAGAAGGTAACTAGATAGCGAGCAGCTGGAACTTGGATTTTTACTCTATTTGGGTTTTGCAGGTCCATTTGCATTTAAAAAAGAGGAATACAATGGGAGCCTGCCTAATCTGGTCTTGAAGCCACATTCATGGACAAAGGTATGGGTGTAACCACAGTTTTGTTGCCTGAAATATATACTTTTCCATTTATTATATTTATTTCATCAGATCCTTTTGGATTTTTTTTAATCAGTTTATTAATTTTATTATGCTTTATACATACTGGTATTTTTCATTACTGTTCTTGTTAGGTGAGTAGCATTATATTTGTAGACTTGCCGGTTTCCACGGGCTTCACTTATGCTAGAACAGAATTTGCTGCTCAACGAAGCGACTGGCTACATGTTCACCAAGTCCATCAATTTCTTAGGAAGGTATTCACCCAAATTTTTTTGTTTTTCTTTTACAATGCCACCTTTTTTTTGTTCATAGGTTTGTTTGCAGTCATGTCATTCAGTCAATTAAATTGTTACAATCGTGTTTAATGTATGTAGTGGTTGATTGATCATCCAAGATTTTTGTCAAATGATTTTTACATTGGTGGCGATTCATATTCTGGCATTCCTATTCCTGTAATTGTTCAAGAAATTTCACAAGGTACAAAACTTGTATATGGTTCAATGTGCATGGCAAAATTAAAACCGCAAACATATGTTGGCAACTGATTTGTACATCATATATTTCGAGTAGTGTGATTGTGTCACTCTGAGTTGCTATAATTATGTTCGAAGTTTACTTGTTGGCCAATTTTTTTGTTTCCAGCAAATGAAAAAGGGGTCCAACCATGGATAAACGTCCAGGTTAGTGTTTTAAAGTATCTCTCATGTTAAGAATATCAGTTAAAGTACCTCTTACAAACTACTCAAAGGACTGATCACTGGTCAACCATTCCATGAGGCATTATATGAGGGGGAAATGGATTTATACAAATGCCCACAGAAAAGTGGAACTGTATGTGAATTTTGATTCTTCAACCAAAAAAAAAAAAACCTCCCAAGACTGAATGGCCAATTATTCTAATTGTTTGGGTATTTCTCCAGTCAGAGAAGCTGCATGGTATTATATAATGGCTTTCAGATTGATTATGAACTGTTCTTTTCTTCAGGGATACCTGCTGGGGAATGCAGCAACAACTACATGGGAAGGAAACTATGCCATCCCCTTTGCTCATGGAATGGGACTTATTTCAGACGAGTTATACGATGTAATTTCATATAATTCCTCACTAGCTATTCTGCAAAAAATGTATTAACAAAACAAAGATCAAATGCTAAAGGTTCTCTATTTATTTTAATGACCAGTCACTGCAAAATAATTGTAATGGAGAGTATATGAATGTAGACCCCAGAAATGTATTATGTTTAAGAGATCTCGCCTCATTCGATGAGGTATGAATCTTTTTTCTGCTCTTGGGCTGTCCCTTCTATATTTCTTATCAAATTTCATGAGTAAAATTTCAAGTCAAACTTGCATCACAAAGTCAACCATTTTCCTGTTCCCATAGGTTATATCAGGAATTAATAAAGCCCATATTTTGGAGCCGTTATGCGAGTTGGATGATGCTGAAACTACTCAGAGGAGATCTCTAATGAGGAAACATCTCTGGAATAATGTCCTCAAAACTCATGTCGAATTGCCACCCTTCAGTTGTCGGGTAATCTTTCTTCATGCTTTATAGGATCAGAGATGTTCTAGATATTTATGCAATGAGAATCTGATAGAAATAATAATTAGAAAATGAAATGTTGCATGAGTTGCAAAAAATGAAATGTTGTGAGTTAAAGATCATAATTCTTTAGTTAAAGACTATAATATAAATTAATTGTCATCCTAAGACTGATATCAATAATGGAGCATACTTTTTATTATTTTTCTCTTGGTAACTCTAACACAATCTAGCTATACCATGCATGCATTTGGTGTTTCATATGCCATCTCTTATTTGTGCTAACTTTATTTTCATTTGCTTTCCACCGCGCGTTAGATTTATGTGTACTTCCTCTGTGCTTACTGGGCTAATGATGATAATGTTCGCAGAGCATTGCACATCCGAGAGGTATAGTTGATACAAGTGGAAGTATTTTCTCGCTTACTCAGTTGACAATACAATTACATATAATAACATAAAGGTTGGTTGAATGTGGTGCAGGGAAGTATAGGAAAATGGCATCGCTGCAGCTACAATATACCTCAAAAGAGGGATATCCCCAGCAGCTTTGAGTATCATGTAAACCTTAGTAGAAAAGGTTATCGTTCTCTTATATACAGGTCAATATTTTCTCTATCCTCATCATCTGCTGCATTAAGGTAACACACACAGATGAACTAATTTGAATTCCATGTGGCAAATAAATTTTGCATATTGATAACAGTGGTGATCATGACATGGCGTTTACTTTCTTGTCAACTCAAGCATGGATTACATCTTTAAACTATTCCATTGTGGATGAGTGGAGGCAATGGGGTACAAATGGCCAAGTGGCAGGGTATATTCCTAGCTATATAGTTATATAATATCAGGGTGGATTTATCTGTAAAGAAAATCTAAGTAAATTATGTACTTAATTTTTGTTTTTCTGCAACTAGATACACAAGGACTTACTCCAATCGGATGACATATGCAACTGTGAAGGCAAGTCTACTCTTCCCCTTATTGCACTTGTGAGATACACATAAATTTTGCTTGGTGAATCTATTAAAGGTAGGTGAACCAAATGATTTTGGCCTTAAATGAGTTGGACCTTATTAAAAAAAGTGAATTCGAATGGTTGACTCCACCAATCTTGATAGACTAAGTTCGCCAAAGAATTTCATCATAAGAGAGCAGGTGTTGATTGAATAGGGAATTCTTTTATTTTCTTTTAACTGCATCAACCATGCACTGAGAATGAGGTATGCGTGCATTAACTGGTGGCTATTTATTCCATTTTTTGTCGTTGATATACTTTCAGGGTGGAGGCCATACAGCTCCCGAGTACAGGCCTGAAGAATGCTTTGCCATGTTCAGTAGGTGGATATCTAATCAGTCTTTGTAGGAATAACCAAATAGGGTCATCAACCATGGTGTTTCTTAAATATCTCTGCTCTTTGTATTTTGTTTTGAATAAAAAGTGGTATGGAGATAACATAAGTAAGGGATCAATAACATGTGGAAGGGACAAGTAGAGGTTCAATTTAAAAATTGTAGTTCAAGCCTAAATTATAAGTTATTTTGCTCAAGTGTTTTCTCTACAATTTTGACCATTTATCCCAATAAAACGAAACTACTCTTACAAGAGTTTTACTCTATAAATTAAGTTTATCTGTTTCAATTGATAAAAAATAATTGAAAAAAAAAAGTGACATTAACTAAGTTTACATAGTGTCCAATTGATTTAAAGTTGAATAAAATTAATTTGACAAAATTAATTTTAAATCATATAATATAATTAAAATTTGTACAAAAATAATTTAAAATATGTATTTTTATTGAAAGATGCATTGGGTATTGAAAAGTTCAATAACTAATTTTCTAACTAGAAAAATAAAAGAGACTCGTTGAGAGTTAATTTTCTAAAAAGGACAAAAATAAGGCTTTATTTGAGAGTTTAGAAGGGACAAAGCTAAGGTTTGTTTGAGTTTAGAAAGAGAAGAAAAAATGTTTGAAAAGAAAAGGAGAGGAAGGAAATAGGAAAAATTAAATATCTTTCTTGTTTGAATGTTAAATATGAAGAAAGAAAAGTGATAGGAAATTAATAATGTAAATTATATTATTGTATTTTATACATTTTATTTATATTTTTTATTTTTTTAAAAATATAAAAATTAAATATTTTTTTCTTCTAAAAATTAATATTTTTAAAAACTAATATATTTTAAAACTATCACTCTAAAAATACTTTCTATTTTTTATAATTTTTTTGAAAAATATCACTTTAAAAATTAATATATTTTGAATAAAAAATAATTTATTACTATTTTTAACTGTTTTAAAAAATAAATAAATTATATTTTTTTCTTTCTCTAAAAATTAATATTTTTAAAATTAATATTTTTAACTTTTTATATTTTTAAAAAATTCTCACTCTAAAATTAACATTTTTAAAATAATATTTTTTTAATTATTTTTTAAAAAATTAACACTATACTTTTAAAAATATTTATTTTTTCTATTTTATTTATTTAATAATTAATATGAAAAAATATATTCTAATAAACTAAAAAAAATTAAAATAGAAAAGCTCACAAAATTAAGATTAAGAAAATTTTGGAAAGTTTAAAAAAAATTTCTAACTCTTTCCATCCAACTTAATTAATTTCCAAACAATAATTAAATCCTTTTAACTTCTTTCTCTTCTTTCCTCTCCTTAACTCAACTCTCAAACAAACTTTAAAATTTTTCGTTGTTTTCGTTAGAAGAAGAATACCCGTATCTCAATATTATTAACAAAAATGGAAAATTTATTCAAATTAACAAAGGTAGTGATTTTTACTTGAAAACATGAACTGCGTCACCGAGGAACCATCGTCGCCTTCCTTTATGCTTTGGTTACAGTAGCGAAATTGGGTTTCTGGTTCTGGGTTCGCTTCAATTTTTTGAGTAAATCTTTTTCTTCAATTCTTTCTCTCCAGCTTTTCTTCTTTTTTTACTTTTTTTTTTATTTTTTCAACGTTTGAAAGTAAAAATTTTCATACAATCAAATGAAACATAAATATTAAAGATATTTTTTACTTTTTATTCCAAAATATTATCCATTTAAGATTATTTTGCATGAAAAAAGAAGTCATTAAAGATTCTTAATTTTATGATTACTAGAAAATATCCTATTTATTGCAGTTGATTTTAAACTTAGGTATATTTTTTGAAAAAAAATATTAAAATAAGGGAAAATATTTAATATTATGAGAGAAACATGTATACTGAATTTAAATAGTTAGGTAGATAATTTAAGTAGTTGGGATTTTGAAAAAGAAAAATAGGTTTGAATGTAAAATAAATAAAAAAAATAGAAGAATTGACATTTTTTCAAAGAGAATTAACTTGATCCTATTTATTGTTGAGATTTCAGATTTTAAATGATAAATGAAGTTTTAAAATAAAAAATCTACTTGTTTTGAAAAGGTTTAGATTATAAAAAGGGAAGAAATGGTAAGATTAAATTATACTTTTTGTCTTTTAAATTAGGCTTTATATATAATTTATATATATCAATTCTTAAATAAGAATATTAAGAGTCTATTTTTAAATAGTACTTACTGCAAAATATATTTGAAGTTTAAATTAAAAAATTATATACAGTTTAATTTTACAAAGAAGATCTATTTAAAAATAAATTTGTCTAAATTATTCAAAAATAAATAGCATCTTAACTTGAGTAATACAATTAAAAATATTGTACTAAAAACCATATTATTTTATTTAATTTTTAATAAATGAAAAGTTTAATTGTATTTTTTATTATTATACTTTAATAAATGTATAATTTTGGCCTTCTAATTTTAATTACTCACATTTAATATTTTAAGTTTTTTTAAATACTGAAAGTAAGACTTTTATCCTAAAAATTTATTCAATAATTAATAAAAATGAAATAAATATAAAAAATTTAAATAAAAATATAATATATAAAATATAATAAAAGTCAAATAAAAGACTTAAACTATATATAGATAAACTTCTAAAAAAAATATAAAAATAAGTTTATCTCATAAATTAAATAGAACTTATTTAAGAATTTTAACAAACAGGATATTAATTTAAACATTTGAAAAGTTAAGAGATTAAATTTGAATAATAAATATTAAAATAACTATTTAATAAAAAAGATAACTAAATTTAAATAAAATTTCATTAATCTATTTAAAATGAAATTATTTATCCACTAAAATAACATAAAAACAAAAAGGAGGTGAGAAGAATTACGAGCGAAACTGTTGAGACATTGATTTTGGCGGGTCGGAACTTGCCAATAAAAGACGATACCCCCGTTGGGTTAGAATCTTCCTTTTCTTTCCTTCCTGAGAAGGCAACACAATACAACACAGTCTCTCTTTTTTCTTTGTTATCTCTCTCTCTCTCTCTCTCTGGATCCGTCGTCACGGCATGGCCACTCCCAATGGCTCCGTCGACGGAAACCACCGGGCAACTCCTCCCTCCGAATCCGCATTGATCTTTCTCGGCACAGGTTGTTCCAGCATGGTTCCCAACCTCATGTGCCTCATTCAGCCCTCCGACCCACCTTGCTCCGTCTGCGTCCAATCCTTGTCTGTTCCACCCGAACGCAACCCTAATTACAGGTCATCTTTCATTTCTTCTTTACCTTCCAACGACGCAAGTCAAGATCTGAACTCTCTCGTTCCTTTGCAGGTGCAATACATCGCTTCTAATTGATTATTGTGAAAGCAACGGTCATCACAACTATATATTGATTGACGTTGGCAAGACATTCAGGGAGGCTGTACTTAGATGGTTTGTTTTCCATCGGATTCCGAGAATTGATTCTGTGAGTTCGTCGTTTTCGAAAATTTGCGAATCTTAATTTAGAGATAGTTCCTTGGCATGCGCAAGCTCGTGAAATATCAATGTGTTTAGCATTGTAGACTGCAATGTGGAAATGTGACTTAGAGGTATCTTATGTATTACTTTGGATGTTTGCTACCATTTTCTCCTTTTTATGATTACATAAACTGCAAATGAAAAAGAAATTCATTGTTTCTGCTGATATTGCATTTCGTGCTTAGACATGGCTCTTCTAGATTTCTTAGCTATATTCTTCCCCTGCTTGGCACAATGTATGGCATAAATGTGTTTCTTTGCTGCATTTTAGCAACATGTGAAATGAATCAGAAAATCTTTAACATACAACTCTAAGTTTTTGTGCTAGACTGTTGGATATTGTTTGCCTGTTGTAATTTATAGAAATTTTTGTCCTATAACTAAAGCAAAGCTGTGTCCTGAACTATTGGTGATCTTATTTTTAGGGAAACTTCATCACTAGAATGAGAAAACTTGTTATTTGGTGCTCAGCCTCCTTATATTCTAAAATTATAAAGCATTTGAATACATGTTTGGCTTTTGGGCTGTATGCAATGTCCTTTCTTTTAATGATGTCGTGGGTGTTTTGAACAGTTTTCCCTGTTATTGTTTCTTTAATAGAACTGATTTGAACCCCCAACCTAGGAAAGCATGAGATATTAGTCGAAGTATGAGGAGATCTCTTTTTCCTTTAGCTTCCTCTTTTTGGATTCTGTCTTCTGTAGATATTTGAAACAGTGGAATTGGAGATTTTAAATAATACCCTAGAAATAAGACTAGTCTTAACTTAATGCTTACTTATGTTCAATGATATTATTGGAGACTCAATCTATCAGGTGAGCCCAAAAAGTTGAAAGATGAAGGTTTATGTTAATCCAAGATAAAAATCAGGGTGTCATATTGTGCTGAGTATATCTATAATGGTTTAGTTATTATGTCAGAGAGTTAGTGTTTAATATTCATTGGGATGAGATGCTTTAAAAGAATTTGCCTATCTGTATCACAGAGCACCTGATTATACTATGGGATATTTCATGTAACTATATACTAGTAAAGAATCCAGTGTATGCCATAAAGAGAGGGCAGGTCCCTGGTGAAAGCATGAAATCAAAGTATATCTTAAGGAAGGAAAAGCTCAGTTTGTTGCCATTACTGTGTATGTAATATAACTGGTAAGGTGAGCAGAAAAAACAACAAATCATACCATACTAATTAACAAATCAGAGTTGAAGTTTTCTAGTTTACTTACTGTTAGAATTTCTGCAACTTCAGAAGAGCCTCTTAAGATTTGTAGTTGCCATTGGCTCATTGTGTAATCTGAACCTATGATGCATTCTATGAAGACACATAAAATTATTCACACCAGCAATGCTGAGGTTCAAGAAAATTTTACATTCTTCCAGGGAAGGAAGTCATTTTAGGGAAAACAACATATAAATGAATCATTAGCCATGCAGTTTGGTCATTGTTGTTGACCCATGAAACTCAAGAACATGGATTGATTACAACTCTGCCTTTAGCTTAGTTTTTCATTTTTTCTTCCTTCCATCAATATTACTACTGTGCAATTTGCATTGACCTGAAATTCACATTCTCTGAGAAAACAAATTTAATTCTTGTTTGAATTGCAGATTATTTTAACTCATGAACATGCTGATGCAGTCCTTGGATTGGATGATATACGTGCTGTGCAGCCTTTTAGTCCAACAAATGATATTGATCCCACCTCCATATACCTGAGTCAGCATTCAATGGATAGGTAACTCTAGTAGCTGCTGCACCTTGTTGTTTAATTAATATATTGATAAAACTATCATTACATCCCTGTTTTGCTGATATTACTAGCAACTTCCCTCTATTTTCAGAAGACCTACATAACGTCCCTTAAATTTTAATAATGCAGTACAAAGTAACCTAACCATCAAGTAGTAAAAGAACCATCGTTCCTGGCTCAGTTGCAAAATTAGTTTGTCAAATAACCTAAATATTGAGACTTAACCGTTTAGCCTTTAGTGGGTAATTTGGCTTAGAAAGCACCCCATATGGGACCATTTCTACTGTTGATATTAGTTATACTTTTTTTACTTGTTTAAAATTAATTCTAACATAGCACCTACACACACAGGTAAACTTACATTTCTATAAGAAGATAAACATGTAATATTTTTTTTGTGTCTTTTCAAACTATTCTTGTTGCATGCAACACAAAATACATTTTAACAGTAAACGGCTGCAAATTGGACTACTTGCTGTGTGATAGTCAGGCAGTTAAAACTTAAAATGGAACTCTGTTGATCAATATGGCTTGTTGATTTTCAATATAGATGATGTGATAAATGTTGCCATCACATGATAATTATTTTCAATAACTTAGATAATGAAATAAATACTTGAAAAACTAGTCTTTCTGAAAAATTGTAATACTGCAGTACTGGCAGCAATATAAATCCTTAAGATGAAATCAGTGCATTGTGTGTGCTTCTCAACCATTGCATTTGAATGCTTGTTTATCTGGAAATTTGTTTTTGATTAGTGTAACTCCTATCTCAGCATTATGCCCCTTTCATTTGATTTTATAGATGTTTTATGCTCTCCAGTACTTGAATTTGTGTTTTGAACCTTTGCAACAGCATAGCTGAGAAGTTTCCTTATTTGCTTAAGAAAACACTTAAAGAAGGACAAGAAATACGAAGGGTGGCTCAGCTTGCCTGGAACATCATTGCTGATGACTGCAATCAACCATTTTTTGCATCAGGATTGAAATTCACTCCTTTACCAGTTAGTTGCCACAATCTCTGTCCTTAATGGTAAGACACCAATACTCCTTTATATAATAAGAAATTCACTGTTTTGTTTGTGGATGTAGGTTATGCATGGAGAGGATTACATCTGCTTGGGATTTCTTTTTGGTGAGAAAAGTAGGGTGGCTTACATATCTGATGTTTCACGGTTTCCTGCTAGTACAGAGTATGGTATGTTTTGAATTAGTTTCTTCCCACTTGGACATATGCATTTATCTATAAGCATTCTATGAAATAATTCACCTACTTGTTTTTAACTTCCGACTCACACATCATTTAATTGAAAATAGAATGACATATTGCATATTGGTCTTGGATTGCTCACTTTGGGGGTTTGGTGTTCACTGTTGTGCTGTAATTTGTGCAGGATGCATGCGTTTATAGATTGCTATAACTAACATCAATTCTAGAAGACAAGATTCATGTTTGAAGCATTACTAGCTGAATTATGATTTTTGACATCTAATATCTAGCAATAAATTTTCTTTTCACAGTCATCTCGAAAAGTGGAGGTGGCCAGTTGGATCTTCTTATATTGGATTCATTGTATAGGGTCAGTGATTTCATTTTCATTCTTTTTGCATATAAAATATAAGTATGATGTAATGCTGTATTTTCCACATGTACAAATGTCAGTTACATTCTGCCACTGAAATTGTATAATAATGTACATCTAAAGGATCTTTTCATGCAAAAAGGCATGAATACATGTGCACTCAACATGCTTAAGTATCTCATGTAGGAAGTTTTAAGGAAATTGCTCGATTTCTTTTTACTAGACATGCTTGATTTCTGGTCTGTTGCATCTTGTCTGATTCTTACTTCATGTTACTCTCTCCTTGGGAGAAAAGTTTGCTGTGTTATGAATTGCTTTTGCTTAACTGTTGTTTCATATGGATTAGTCTGATTCAATATTTTGTTAATTTGTTTTGTAGAATATCAGCGTCTCTATACAGAAGTATGTTTTTTAATTTTGTTTAATTTCTCTTATACTAGACAGGTATCACTTCTTTGTTGTAAGTTTAATCAGAGAAGACCAATAATCAATTACTCAATGCGTATTTGCTGGACCTAAATGCTTTGACGTTTTCAGGCACTTGAGCATATCTACAAATTTAAAATAATAAAACACTGATGTATTCTTTCATTGCTTTAAAACAAAACATAAATACCAAGTTGCATTATTGATCATTTGGAATTGAACATTTTCTGATGCATGTTTGTCAATTCAGTGTTTTAGTTTCTTGTTTCTTGACTTTTTCAGTGATAAATGTTTGCTTCTTTGTTCTCGTGTTATCACAGACTGGATCGCACAATGTTCACCTTTGTTTTCCACAGGTTTGTTTTCTATTTTACGAAAAACCAAAAATCACTTACACTTCATATCTCACAGACCCTGGTGGCGAGACATATTATTAATTGGTAATTTTACAGACTCTGGAAACTGTCAAGCGGTTGTGTCCAAAGCAAACTCTATTGATTGGTATGACTCACGAGTTTGATCACCACAAGGACAATGAGTTTTTGACAGAGTGGTCCAGAAGGTATGTGTCTGATCCATTTGTAAAGAAGTCAAAATTAACTGTTGCAAATATATTTGGCAGTAATTGACATGATAATCTGGTAGACTCTATGGTATTTTGTGGATTTTAGAAAGTGGGAGTTGACTCTTCTCTTATTGTACTTAGGGAAGGAATTCCGGTACAGCTTGCTCATGATGGTTTGAGAGTCCCCATAAACTTATAGCAAGGAAGGTAATCACTGCAGACATGAATATTTTTCTCATCAAGCGTGGTGCTTAAAAACTACTGAACTAGGATATGAATTATTCACTATGATCAGTGGCGCATGCATTTGTTTCTGAGGTCTCATCCTTCTTAGAATGGATGTGCCTGTTAAATGATTGCATTCCTGGAATACTATTACCTTTTCTGTTTTAGTTTTTCCCCCTATTCTGTAAAACGATGCATTAATAAATCGTGACGTGAATTGTCGGGTGTGTTTGTTTAAGGAAATGGATAGTGAGTAGGGAGACAATTGGGTTGATAGAAAGATAATTTTCATTATGTGAGGCTTGGTCAGCAGAAAATCACTTTCATGCTATAGGAGTAGATAAATTTGTAGGTGCAGTGTAGATTAGGGACAGTACACTTCCACAGGCCCTAAATTTTGTTGTTCCTAACAATTATGAAGTAATCTTGTTCGAAGTTCTATTGTCTCCTAAAACAGGCAGTCCCTTATTTGTATTTTGGCCATGAACATTTAGGAACTGATTATGTATTTAATACTGACAAACAAGCACATAACACCCTTTCTCCTCCTCGTGCATTCCTTTCTTAGTAGCCATATTGACTATCAATGAATATCAATGCTCTTAAATCTTAAAATATGTGCTATCGTGTTCTTGCAGGGTAAAGCATGTGACAATGTATACTGCATACTGTTGATCTTAATTAGATTGGATTGAGGCCTTAATATCTTTTTAAAGAATATCCTCAGTTTCTGCAATAGTAAGCTAAACCAACATTTTTCCTACAGGTGGCATTTCTGGATACGACAAGGATAACTTATAGTGATGAAATCTTTATTTTTTTTATTTAAACTCCTGAAAGCTGTGTTAGAATTATCTTATAATCGACTCCTTGGTGGTGGAGATCAAATTGGCTAGCTATGAGTTTTGAGAGCTTAAAAAAATCCAACATATCTTAAATTCCTTTTGCAGTCACTGTGAGTCACTCTGTAGGGTGATTATTATAAATAATAAATTATTACATGTGGAACCTTCTTGCACGACATTTTTGGTTTGTTAATTCCCAATCTCACATGCAAGTATGTCAAAGGGGCTTGAAATAGAGGACCCCTACATTGTGCCATTTAAAATAATCGAATGTGATATATACCCGGTAGACCTGTGCTGGTATTCGTGTCGTAGATTGGATGAAAATAATTAATTTATTGGACAAGAGATATTGATAACTATGGAGTAATGTCTCTCACATAGCAAAGTGGATGGTGAGATGCGTGTGGAGAAGGGATAGAAAAACAAGAAGAAAGGGAGAAATGAGAGATGTTACAATTGATGTGACAGAAAAGAAAAAAAAACTATAGAAATAAAAAATTGGATGTAAATATCTAAGGGGGGAAAAAGATGAAAGAAGATTTGAGTTGATAACAACGAATCAAATACGAAGTATATATATCTATACACGGATACTTATTTCTTATGGTAATCAAGCTTGGTGTCACATGGATTCAGAGTGGCAATGGCTTAATCTCCCCTTCGTTAGATATTTCAATGGCTTGACCAACATTCTCAGCCTGATTTCAAAAGTGAAAGTTGAATCTAAACTGGGCAAATTCGGGAATCAATTTGTAGCTATACTCGATAATTTGTTTCTTCTCAGAAATATATTCACAGTTTGCCTCTAGAATGAGAACAACTTGATATCTGCAAGGCTTACAATTGTTCTGGTGCATGGGAAAGGATGCAAATTACAATTGCGTTCCTTAGAATTTTAACGAAATTTTATTTAATATTTTCATTATATTAATTTAAGGTATCAACCCTTTAAATAATCCTCCACGTACTTTTTTTTTTTTTATAGACAAAACAAATATTTAATTTTATATCCTCTGTAATTTGTCTTTTCTTTCCTTTTTCTTTTTACCAAAAATATACAAGGTATCAAAAACTCAAAAGACAAGAATTACAAAATAAAGGGAAAAAAAAGCATGATATTGTATGAAAAATAAAATACATATAAAGGTTATCCTAGTCTTAAAATAATTACTTGAAGGTGTTCTATAAGCGTAATTTTTTCTCACCTTATAATAAAAAAATATTAAACATGTATGTGATATGTATATTAAATTTCATCAATTTAGTTATTAAATAATATAATATTAACATATTAATCATACATATCAAGTTTAATAAAACATTAATAAATATATAATTTTATAATAAAAATTATTTATAATTTAGAAATACATTATATAACAAAATAAAATTATATGAAAATGCATATAAACTTTTATTAATTTAATTTATTTGCATAGAACTTTCAGTCTAATAATTAAATTAATAAAATTTAACATTTATAAAAAATAATTATGGAAAACATCTCTGATAAAATTATTCCTCATAGCTTGAGGCCCACCTTAAATGACAGCGATCAACTAGAAATTTCTTGTATGAAGAGGGATGTGAACGTGTTGAACTAGTCAATGCACGCGATACAGTGTTTATGTTCCATTTGCATGACTTATTCCTTTTATATTCTTTGTCGTTTACAAGAATCAACAGAAGACCAGGCAGAAGGAAGCAACTAGTTGAATTCCTCTACACCCTAAGTCAATATTTGGAACCATTCTAGAAAGCAACCATAGTCCTCAGTAGTCATCGAAGCTTCGGGTATGCGTGTCGTATGGTTTGTTTCTCATATATGATACTCTCACAAACAAAAAAACATTAGCAATTTAATATATAGTAGGGAATAAAAAGAACTTGAAATCAAGAGAGAAGAGACTAAGAATATACAAACACAAGATGATGGCATGTTCTTTGCCTTTTAACAACAAAAATTTGGACGTAAGTTTCTTTGTCTTCAAGCCAACCATTGTAATCATAGATGACCTTATTCATGGACTTAAACAGTTCTCCTTAAGCACTGAGAGCCTTGGCTGTGTTCAAAGCTCTATATTTAGAAGCATACATGGAAATATGGTAATTTTTTTCTTTCTTTCTTAGCTTTTCAATTTTCAGTTTATTTTAAATAATGTCCACTAAATTCGTGTATTCTGAAGTGTATGTTTTTTTTGCTTGCTGGATTCAATTTGTTTGAAACTTTGCTGATTATAGTTTATGAAATCATTTCTTCTCAAGTGAATTGAGTTGCATTTTGGCTGGCAAGAACATAACTGAAAGATTGCACCTCAAATTAATCATATTGTATAATTCCTATTTTCAGCTTTGTTTTCCACGTGGAGCTTTGGATCCACAAGTTCATGTTCATGAAGAGTTTATTTTGGAACTTCTATCTTTCAGTGAATAACAACTTCAGATGCCATTGCTCCATGGTTGACTACCATCTGTAATGGTTGAATCTGTCATCAATTCATAGATATATAGCTTAACATCTATGATTGTGCTCTTCAATTAACTAAGTTGTTTTTACCATCTGGCTTCTCAATAGTAATCAATTTCCTGAATTACACAAAATTCAATATCTTCACTGGTTTTATTTATCTTTCTTTATCTATTGATTTATTTATTCACATTAGGCTGAATATGTGTGCCCTTTAATCAGATCATATGGTATGGAGCATGGCAGAAACGGCCAAATAAGGAAAAGGTGCAGCTGACCCTAACACTTGTAAGTTGACTCTTGGATCATTAAAATAATTTGCAGTGTTTCAACAGGATAGATACTCTTTATTACTTGGACATCTATAAGAACAAAGAAGGCAATAAATTTTGCTGAAGCTTTATAAGAAGCAAAATTTAATATATGTGTGAAGCTAACTTATGTTTTATTTTCCATGTGTCTGTTTTATAATGGAAAATTTAACTGGTAGAGATGTGAATTACAGCGTAGGAGGGGATCAGCTCAAAAGAGCTCTCCAAGTCCAATCCTACTGTATAGCCAACAAAGAGAAACCTTTAAAACAAATCATGGGCATAAACCCGAAACAAAGCAAGAAAAAGTGAAGTTCATAAGTGAAGATTTGTAGCTGAAAATTCTGGCATTTTCCCTCCATAGTCCCACCAAATGCACTGCAAGCCCACAAAAATAACAAAATACATATCATTTTAAGGTCAAGCCATCTAGAATTTGGCTCACGCTTCTTTAAAAATCATGACATGCAAAGAAAACTTATCTCTTTATGGAAATGTTATCTTATTTAACAGTCATGCTCAGAGATCTATCATTGTCATATGACATGGGATTTCTACAATATAAGTAAGGTTCACATATATGTAAATTTTGCTTCCTTACCATATGTTTGGAAGAATTGAGACAAACACCTTTTCTTTTGTAATATTCTTGTATGCACTTTATCTACTAGTTTGGAGGGAAAACAAATTGTCTTATTTTTCTGTTATCTTACACTTTGATCAACATTCACTGATCAATTTTTTCCTTTACTCTTTGTTTTATGGTTTACTTTACAGAAATCAATGCTAACCAACATATCAAGCATGGCTATCTTAATTGAACATAGTTTCCTTGAAGCATATGGTGGAGAATCAAGAGATGGCTCTTCAACTGCAAAATTCTCTACAGGGGACATAATATCCCTGAACTCAGCAGTCACCACTACTAATGACCTTAATGACCTTTGCTATGCCGTCCTAGCAATTTTAAGGTCTCGCTTTTCAAAAATGGAAGGTATAACCGCAGGCCTTTGCTTGAAAGGACAAAGCAGACCCATAGTGGTATCCATTCATGTGTGGAAGTCTCTCCATTTTTGTTACTCGTGGATTCTCAACTTTGACCAAAGAAAATGGATGATGCCTTACCTTGAACGTTTCTCTATCGACATGAAGTATGATATTTTCCGAGTAGTCTATGTTAGTGGTGACAATGTGGTTGATCTTAACTATATTTCTCCTCATCAGATGTTAGAAAATGGGCAAGAGAACAGGCAAGGGCAAGTTATGCAAAACTGAAACTACTTTAAAAGATTTCAAGTTTTGAACTATCTTCTTATACTATGCTCTCTTTTTTCCTTATGTTGTAAATGTGTATATATATTACTTTTTCGTAATCAATTCACAGGTTAGAACTCAATGTTGTATGTTAAGTAAGTAGGTATACTTATAGGAAGGAGTTAGCTAAGACTTTCAACTACAATTTTAACAAATATACATGCATGCACACATATGAACCACAAACAAGCAAACCGTACACAAGAAAATTTGGATTTTGCACCTAATCCAAATCCTTAAAACTATTACGTTATGAGTTCTTGTTGTTTATACATTGTTGAACTTCTTCGCTAATATTTGACCTTAATATATATATAGAGAAAGCATTATAAATCGATAGATTTAAGTTAAATGAAAGATTCAGATTGAGTGTAAGAATTTTTATACTTATATTGGTATAAGAAGATCTTTATCTTACAAAGATAATATATGATGATTCAAAAGTTAAATTAATTAATTTTATATTTTATAAAAAATTATTAATTAGTATAATTGTTTAAGAGAGTACTAATTATAATTCTCTCTTTTTCAAAGATTAAACTAGGTTGAATTGCTTAATTATAAGACTAAATAACACTAATAGTTCATTTTCAAAATATTCAAGGTTTGAATAAAAAAATGTTATTGTGAAGTTGTGATTCATTTGACTGCAACTCAACAGTGAAGTGTGTACTAAAGTAGGTCAGAATTTGAACAAAAAAAAAAAAAAAACTTGCTAATTGTAGATCCATGTTAATGCGTACATCAAAGGCAAAGTTGGAAGCAGAAATGAGAGGAATTGAGGTACATAGCATAGTCCATATTCATTGGAAACAAACTTCTTATATAAACATCATCAATTTTGTTATGATTAACATCTGATTGAATATGTTATATGAAATTTTTTGCTCGAAGAGTTAATCTGGAATATAGTTGTTTTTTTCCTGATAGAGTAGTTTATACATTCTAGGCCATTACTTGAATGCATTATGACCTTAGAACATCTTGAGAAGAATGTCTATGCAACATATCACTGTTAACTTTACCACTGATTAAAGCTTATACATTCTAGACAGAAGTTGAACCGATGAAAAGCCGGGCTAAAGCAGCTTATACATATCAATTATACATTTTTTGTGGTTGGCTTTGATATACCTTAAATATTGGTTGAAGAGAAGGAGAGAAATTTGGATAAATGAGGGAGCTAAATTCCTCTCTCAAGGATCTTCAAATCAAGATTACTCATCTTCCATAGGTTTCGATCATTCATATAAGACATAATGTCAAATAAACCTTGTCTTGTTAAGCAACTGTGTACAAGTTGCTAAGTAAAGTTTTTTTTGTTTTAGATTTTTTTTAAATTAAAAATTTTAATTTGAAATAATTGATGTTAGCAACATCTAGTTGTGTTAAGAAATGATATTTGATTTATCCAAGTATAGAAGAATTCATTTTTAGATAATATAGCAAAATTACTTTTAAAGTGCGACGATATATATTTATTAAAAAAATTTGAGTTCTATATTTAGAATTAATTGTACTTAATGAAAAATTAAATTTACTTCTCTTAAAGCCAATTTAATAAACTGCATAATTTTTTTAAAAAACAAAATTTTATCTAAAATAGATGAATTATTATACAAATAAATTAAGTATATATTCGCTTTGAAGTTAGAAAATCAATTATCACTTTTTTTATAAATTAATTTAAAAACATGTCAGTTCAACGATTCATAATTGATTTTACTAAACTCTAATCCAAACGAGCACCAAATACCACTTGTTTTGCAGGCAAAATAGTGAGTCCAACATTTGGCGCTTGCTCAATACCAAAATTGTTTGGATAAAATTTTATCCTTGCAAAATCAATTTTGTGGTGAATAGAATTGATTTTGAGAAAAACATTTTTTTCCGAAATTGATACATTTATTCTAAGGGTAAGATCTACCCAACTTTTTTTAAAAATATACCTATATTTACATTTCAACAATAATTTTTCTTATTATTGAAATAAAATCACTTTCCTTAAAATTACTTTTAAAATATCATTTTCAGACACATTAATTTTTAATTAAATTATAAATTTAATCTCTACAGTTGACATACGTTTATAAATAATTTGTGTTTAAAAAAATTTACGTTAATTTTTATACATATGTTTTATTAAGTTTTGATTTATGTCATTTATGTTTTACTCTTTCTCATTATACCAACATTACCAAATTATATTAACAATGAGAATTACTAAATTATAGCAAAACACTCATGTAACTACTAGAACGTTAATTATTAAGTAGTGTTAGAAGTAAGTTTTTTTTTTTTTTTAAGTATAGAAATTAATTTGTAAACATGATAAATATAGAAATTAAATATGTATTTTAACTAATTATAATTTTAAAATAATACTATACACTAAATTTAGTTGAAAAAATATATGTATTATAACTTGATTTTAACTTTATAACATTTTATTTTTTACTAATTAAGAATTTTATTTAATTATATATTTTACATTTTATCCTATATTTAGAAGAACAAACAAAATATCAATATTTAGCATTTTTATTATAATTTTGTAATATGTAACTATATCAATTTAATATTACATATTTTTTATTTTCATTAAATGTTTTGTTCTTAAAAAAGTTGCATGATTTAAACTTAAATATTCTAATTAAGAATTTTATTTAATTATATATTTTACATTTTATCCTATATTTAGAAGAACAAACAAAATATCAATATTAACATTTTTATTATAATTTTGTAATATGTAACTATATCAATTTATATATTACATATTTTTTATTTTAATTAAATGTTTTGTTCTTAAAAAAGTTGCATGATTTAAACTTAAATATTCTAATTAAGTATTTGTATAATTTTTGTAAGATTCAGTACTTAATTAAGTATATAGATTTTTACATGAGTCTATAATATCTTTAGACAATATTTTTTTATATAAAAAATAAAATATTCATTATGTTTAATATGTGAAATTACAGTATTATTTAAAATTTTACATGATTAATTATATTACGTAAATGAATTTATAAATTTTCTATCAAGTTATATTTAAGTAATTTTTATTATCTCATAATATCATTAGTTGATTATTTTACTACTTTCTCTATTAATTAAATAAAAAAACTATATATGTCTAAATATTTTTTAACAGTGATAAAAAGTTTTTATCATATATAAATTATTCTTAATATTTATTAACTACAATTATTATTATTTTATTAATTTATATATTTACTAAATTAATAAATTTTATCAATAAATATATATACTTTTAAACTACAAATTATTTTTTAATTAAATATATAAATTTTAATAATTTTAAAATTTATGATTCTTTTATTTAATAACTCATTTTTAATTTCTTCTAAACAAGTTCATAAAAAAAATTATTTCTAATTAAAATAGACATATAATCCATATAGTTAATATTTATTTACGAGTTAGTATATAAATTTAAAAATATTATGTTAACAATATAAAAACTAAAGTGTAACTTTTTTTAAACAAATGGATTCTTTTGTCTAACAAATATCAAGGATTAAATATATAATTTAACCCTTCTTTTACATCAAAAGTAGTGCGAGGAAGATTGGTTGGGTGTCAAAAACATCATAGAATGAAAGAGATTTTCTTTCTGATATTTGGTGCCTGGCACAAGAAATAAAGCATATATCTGGCAGATAAATGACAAGATTGCCATCCAGAGTTTCTGTATCAAGGTAGGAAAGTACCAGTCAATTGCCGCTTATAAAATAGCCAATCAAATTATAGTCTTTATACTTTTATATGATATTTAAAAATCTGTACTGAATTATGAGATTTGGAATAAAATTACGAAAATATGAAAACTCAAAAATCACCCTTTGACATTTTTTTTCTATTGCAGAGAATTAAAGATAAAACAACTAAAAACTATTAAAAAAAATTAAAGTACTGACAATTTTTCAAAAATTATATATATTAAAAAAAAATTAAACTACTAAAATTGAGATATTTTAAATTTTTTCTTATTTTTCCCAAAATCTCATTTTGGTATTTAAATTTTTTTTTCTCGTGTTAAAAAAGAGCCTCAAATTATTAGTTGCTATTATTCATCTTCTACTTCTCCCTTCCCCAAAAGTTATCACAGAAAATAGGGCCAGCACCATATGGTCAGAAGCCTCCATCTATCGTCACATTCAAAAGCATGGCGCCACATAATTGTAGCCTAACTAAAAACATGAGATCAAAATAAAACAGACAGGAAATTCCAGCATATAGTTCCATTAGACGTAAATTCAAGTTCCATTTGTCATAACAAATAAAAACAACCATGTCCTAGGAATTATCTAAATATAAAAAACCAACTCGCAAAATTCTCAAGCTTCAACTACAGAAACAAACATCAGAAAGATTGAATGAGATGCTTCTCGGTCTCTCACCCTTTACAGGTCTTGAACACTCAAACCTGAAAAGATCAAGAACATCACAAGTTGAAGGGCATATAACTACCAAGATCATATCATACAAACTAAAATAATTAAAGAGGACGATAATTGTCCCCCAAAAGATATGTCCAAGTGCACAACCACTAATAGTTACTAACCAGTCCAAATTATGGTTGGTTAAAGAATGTAAATCCCCTCATCAAAATACTTTGTTTGCAATTTGTTGTGAACATAACCAGTGGCGTATATAAAGTTGAAACCAACGGTATCCTACACTAGAATAAATGTAAAATCCTGAAATGCAAAATCCATTACTAACCTGGAGGGAGTGATTGCTTCAATTTATCAGCCTTCTCTGGGTCGAACACACAAAGTGTGTAGAGGTACTTGGAGCATCGGACCTTGAACTTAACCACATCTCTGCTCCTCTTGATTTTCACCGACCTCGCATCCTTCCTTCGGGCAGTGAGAAGGAAATCCTTAATTTCGTGGATTTGCTTAGGCTGTGCAGAAAACACCACATACATATTAATAACTGAAAAAATTGGTATACTAAATAACAGCAAAGATGCCAGTATATTTGACCTCAAGAATGAGAAACTAAAAAGCAGTTACAAAACAAGTAATTCTGCAAGACAAAATTAATGACCATCCATACCAATGGAGATCACAAAGCATAATTAAGTATCAATGTTGAAATTCACAATACTAATCATTATGAAATCCAAAGTCCTGAATCAGAGCATAACCCAACAAATACTAAATCTAACTTTGTTGTTTACACCTTTTTCATAGAAAAACAAATTAAAAAAAAAAAAAAAAAACAACCACCCCCTCCCAATTTTGTTTCTATCAATACAACAAATCAATTGTGTTACACTTTTCACTGAGATAAGTTAGATGTGAAACATAACTTCACCCAGTTTATTTGCATCGACTAGTCCAACATAAAATCGACCCACAAATAATAAGTCAAAAAAATGGATTAAGGAAAGAGCTTCTTGAATGCGTACTGATCAAAGTATTGCAGAAGAATAATCGAATTCAAAGAACAAAGAAGATAGATAAACTTGGGAAAAGGGAATGAGTAATCACCATGGTTACAGGCGGCCCGAGGGTGACAATGAGGAGGAACGAAAGGAGTTATGTTGTAAATTGTAAAACGCACGGCAAGTGAGTGCTGCTCATAAACCCTAACCCTAGTGCCTCTCTCTCTGATACCAAAATTGGACCCTGAAGCCCAACCCATATTGTGGCCCATCCCTTTCCTCCAACAGGCTGCGTAGAAGGAAGAAAATTTTTAGTGTAAACTTATGAGCGTTCTTCTAGGATCTTTTATGTTGTGTAGCACTTCCATTTAAGGGCTATTTTGGCTGGCCTTTTGGGCCAATTTATGGAATATCCGTGACCAACAAAAAATTAAGCTGTGGAATTGAAAGTCTTATTCAAATGTTGTAAGACTACATTGTTAAAATTGATTTTAAAGTTAAAGCTAAAAAATATAAATTTGTATGCCTATAAAAGTACAAATGTTCTTAATTATTAAATGAAGAAACCATTAATATACATATATAATGCTTAATTTATAAACTCAGTGCATCTTTAAATTATTTTCCATTAACTAGAAAAGAAAAAAAAATACACTTATATGTTTTTGGTTGGTCAAAATATGTTCCCCATCAGCTCAGTAATAATGTTTCTCTTTTTTGGTCGAAACCAAGAATGGCTAAACTTACCACATCTCTAGAGATCTTTTAATTTTGGGTCAGGATTCGATAAGACTTTTCATTTTATTTTTTGGGCCCAAAGGGGCCTTTCAAAGCTGGGTATTCCTCATCCTGTGAAGTAGGGTTTTCATATATTACTGGTTTGGGTTTTGCCTTATGCCATTTTGTTTTTGTCTAAATCCTTATGCCGTGTTGGGCTTACCTTTTTTCCCCTGAATCTTCTGACCAAAAAAAAAACAGAGACGGATGAGGCTAAGGCCCCCCCACCCCAATATCAAAAAGAATAAAAAAATACTTTTAGAATATATATGTATGTGTGTACATCCTTTGACTAAAATAAATACACACACATGCATTTTTTTTCTATAAAATATGTAAGTTTAGGTTTGTTCTCAAGATTCATTGGTATAAAAATATATTGTTGAAAGAAGTCCTCGTTAGTGGGAGAGGTTTCCAGTTTAGCACCAAATTGTACCGTTAGAAATCAATTTCTCACTCACATATGAAACTTATATGGCTTTCTAGTTTCAAAGAAAAATTAGTTATTCATTATTGAATTGAAAGGGGTCAATCGCATATCATGAACATGGTACATTACTAGACATTCCCACATCAACATGTTTTGGCCTCCCTATTTGAGAGCAATTACAATCGTAAACCCTTTCTTTGACAAATTATTGTTACCTAATTGAGCTAGCGAATCACTTATGTAGCAAGAATCTGTACTTCTCATACGTAAGACTCAATTAACACAATTTGTTTTGCTAGCTTTTCAACATTGCAATACCAATTTCTCATCGATATGTCATTCTCTCATAACAACTAAAGACAAATAGTTCACCTTTAATAGTCACCCCAAATGCAAATTCACATCCCAAAACAACTTGAAACTTTTTGAGATGATCAATACAATAGCTATATATATTTGATTAATGATCAAGAAGGCGCATGCATAAACATTTTATGATAAGAAAAAAAAAAGTAAAGCAACACAAATTTGTACAGCGGGAAACAAGAAAGGATAAGGACCTTGCACGTGTAAAACAAGGTTAGTACAACCTTTTTGGTCATGTTGTGGGTGACAGAGCAAAATCATAGGGTAGAGTCAGTCCCAAGAAAGAAAAAGAAATGAGGTGAGGTTATAATAGAATGAATGCAAGTTCAAGAATCAAGAATAACTCCTCACCTAAAAATATAGAAAGGTGGGGTTAGGGTCGTTGGCTTACTAGCCCTACCTTTTTACTAGTATTATTATTGTAGATAGTGCCCTACCTTGTCACCATTCCATACCCAGAAAAAAGCTCCAACAAATAAGGCAGCCCCACAAAATGCATCAAAACAAATTGTACTAACCTACTCTCAACTCCAACTTCTTTAATCACCCATTCCCAGTGGGGAAGCTAGCTAGTGTCACAACTAAAAAAGGTCACCTAAATTTGCCTCTTTCTTGCATTCATTAAAATGTGAAACAATTTGTTGGAGGGGGGGGAAAAAACTTGAAGCTAAAATGATTAAATGAATTATAGCATTGTACCGAATGAGAATGAAGGTCTTACTGTCAAATCTGCCGACATCAAATGGTTCAAAGTTTTTTTTTTTTTCCAACAATTATGTTCCCCATTTTATATTAAAGACTAATTTAAGTATTTAAGCTCAGGTTTTGGAGGCATTACATCTCCATTTTGTTCGATCCTATTTTGAATTCATATAAAATGAAATTTTGATTTATATAAACTGATTTGTGGATGTTGTTGGGTAACTCATTTTTATGGTGTTTAACTTAATTTTTTTAGTCCAAAAGAGGCTTATATTGTAGTAAAAAAATCACGCATTGCTATAATTCATGTTTCATAACTTAACCAGCATATTAACTTGAGTGGACAACTTGCATTCTTACCAAAAGAGATACAGAATAAAAGCTTTACGTTACGAGAAGAGACCTAAATAAATCGAAATGTCAATATTTCAAATTTCTTCCCCCTTAGATTGGAAACTTACCAAAAGTCTTATAGCCTGCTTCCAAAAGCCTTTCAATAATAATATTGCTCGTGTTTTAATATACGCGCGTCCACTTATTTTCAACACCCTTCTCTTTTCACCACATAATTAGCCGAAAATTTTCTAGTTATATATCCTTCAATACTTAATTTGTTTGTTTCTGTAAAAGAAAAAAAAAGTTAATTCTATAAAAATGTATAATGTATAATAATTACTTAAAAAGGGTTATTTTAGTGTGCTTTTGGTAACTAAATTTAGTAACTTCAGAAAAGAAAATGTTGTTGAAAAAGGCTGTATAAAGATACTACTTATTTTATTTAAAACAAACGGACCATATATTAATATTAAAATGTAAAACCTGTTCAATTATACGTTAATTTTAGATCACCTTATGATTCAAGACTCAACAATTCGACTCATTAATATATCAAATCATTCATATTGACCTCCTACAAATGATTTTTTGCATTTGTATAATAAGGGATTAATTTTACCTTACGTTTCACAATGCAGAAAACATTTTAAAAATGAAGTAATTAAATTATCAATCCCAAGAATTTTCTAAATTGATCGAGCTATATTTGAATGGAATTTGCTTCATTTATGCTTACGTTATACATAGGCATTGAACAAAACAATATCTTGTAGGGGGCAATTTTTTTTCCAATTTTTTTTTTCACTTTTATACCTGACATTAATAAAGAGAAATAAGGATTGAAAACTTATATTTGACTTATCATGTAGACGAAATAATTCACTTCCACTCCATTATTTTGCAATTTTAATATCTCAGTCACCTCTACCTTTCTCATTTATTGGCAAGTAGATTGCTGAATCAATTGGCAGAAATTATTAGCATTGTCGTGATCATTTATGTGTCACCTACATCCATAAGATTTTTACATCATTTCTATAAATTTTCCCATCCATGAAACGTCAACTTAGACAATACAGGGAAGGAATTATGTTGCTTTATAGAATCCAAATACTTGGGACACGAGAGCATGAAGCATGTATGATTAAGCAAGATCGAAATGGACAAATGCACAGCTTTCACTTTGCCATTGAAGAAGCAAAAGCATTAACAGGCAAGGTAAAAGGGTGCATGGCCAAAACCAAGAACACGACAAAGCGGGCCACAATCACATAAATAGAAAGACAGTGATTTGTTTTCCATCCTTGTATGATCACGGGGACACATCACATGTCTTTGGTGTCCTCTTCATGTTCAAAGGGTCACATCCTCCTTTTCCCAAATGGTTTATCATTTATTCATCACTCAACCAAGGTCAAGTACTCTAACATCATCTGCAGGATCATCTACGACTTAAGTGACCATTTATCTCATGCATGGTATATATTTACCAAACAATTCAAACCAAAACTCGTTAAAGGTCAAGAATATCAACATCACCTCCACTCCATTGTCCCCAATGCTTCATAGTCAAATCATGCACCCCGAAGACTTGGCCAAAAGCAAACTAAAAGTAAAGTTCAGCAGAAGTTATGAGAACTATCTTCACGCATTGATTTCCTAACGGATTTAAGTATTGTATATATTGTTGCTAGCACAATGACTAGATGCCATATAGTTACAGTATTAATTTATGAATGGTCCTAGCATAAAAAACAGGAAAACAAAAACCAAAGGCTAGAGAGTAGGCTATAAACTACATTAAGGAAGTGCTTCCCACCGTTAACAAAGGGTTGAGAAGCATTGATAATAATACATGTGATGGAAGAAATGCAGACTATAAACAGTCATATAATTCAGTAGTCTAAAGACCCTACAGTTGTTATCCCACTGCTTAAATTTCTTGGGTCTTGACGGCTCACGTAGTCATCACAGATGCCGTTTGAGAGCCTTTGAATTGGAACTGAGCTCAAAAGCTCGAGGCCGGTGCCCATTTGCTGCACTTCCTGAGGTGAAAGTATCTTGATGCACCATACACTATTTACGAATTCCCTGTCATAAGATCATGAATGTGACAAGATGTACAGAAAAGAGGCACGATCATTTGATTTCACAAAAGATATGGTACTTAAATCCCCAAAATGTAAAGCATCAACTCCATATAGATCGCTAAAAAGTAATTTAGTGTAAGTTTATGGTTTTTCCATTATTATTATTTCTGAAGGGATTAGTTATATAAAACTACCATGTCATTTAAAACAGGTCACTGGGTTTCTTTACTTTTCAATTTACTACTTAAGTGGAAAAGGAAGAACAAAGAATAAGGCATTTGTGGTATGGGAGACTTACGGCCAGGGGCCATCACCGAGGAGAAGAACATCATTCTCTCGGTCTACAAATACAAGCTGCCAGCCTGATCTCAGAGGGTCCTCCAACTCGCCTTCAAGGCCAAACATTCGGGCAAGCTCACTACGCAGCTCATGGTAGCTGCTGAATTTAGTGATATCCAATGACCTTCCAAAGGACCCTGACTTGTAAACCTGAAGCAAAAAACTTATCAAATAAAAATGCTAATTAACTTATTCATTGAAAAAAGTATAGAATCCCACTGGAAAAACTCACCTTCACAAAGGTTTTATTCAATGGGTTTCCTTGTCCTGCATTTTCTGGTGTCTGCAGAAAGCCTGATTCGCCAATGCTGTGGGTCATTCCATGATTCAATGAAGAATCAGGACCTGTTGTATTCAGATAATTAGAAGATTGATATGGCAACGTTGAGGAGTCACCGTTGCTGTTGACCCCCTTTATGGCAGACATCCCATTAGGCATGAGAAGGGAGGACGGATCTATATTAACACCAAATAAAAGATGGTTTTGTGGATCATTGCTCCCTTCTTGGTCAATTGAGCACTCCCTACCAGGAAAAGGTGGTAATGTAATAGCATTTGGAGACATGGTACTCTGTGGTTGCCCAAGCTGTTCCAGCTGAGGTAGAACACATTGAGATGCTCCAGAAGAAAGGAGAGGATCCACTGCAACACGCTTGGAGGGCCACGCACTTGAATTCTGAACAGGAATCCAAGAGCTTGTTCTAGTAAGGTTCAGAAGGTGAGATGTTTCATCCTGGGGAAATGAACCCAAGATACTGTGTAGTGGAGAGACAACAGTAGTCACAGGGTTCCCATTTGAATCAGAAAAATTTTGCTGTTGACACAGGGAAGAGATAGCTTGCATAGGTGGTGATTGAGGTTGAGGTGCTGAAACAAACTGAGACATTGTAGAGACAGCACTTGAAATTTGCTGACTATCTACCACTTGCTGTTGCTGTTGTGTCTGTTGTTGTAGTTGTTGCTGGTGTTGATGATGATGCTGACTATTGAACGAGTGTTGATGTTGCATATGTTGCTGAAGATGGGCCTGAGTTTGAGGCTGAGAGAGTGTTGGATGCTGGTTTTCTTGATTATTTCCAAATATCTGCTGAGGTTGTGACTGCTGCAACATCTGGGCCTGCATTAGAGCAGCAGTCCTGTTTGGGATGTTCTGTGGTTGCTGAAATTGAAGTAACGAACCAGGATGCTGTTTGGAAGAATCTACACTCCTTATGTCCTGAACAGCAGCAGCTTGAAACATATCTTGTTGCATATTCAACATGGAGGGATCAAATCTTGGCTGCATCCAAGGATTGACCCCAATCCCCTGAAAATTAAGAGACTGAAGCCCTCTATCAGTGTCACGGAGCCACAGCAAAGGTGAATTTATGCCAAAGTCATCATCCTTCATGCCTGCTAGTATTTCAAGCAAGGAAAATTGGGGAGAGCAGTGAGAATGACTTTCCATTGATCAGAAAGGAAACAGTCTTTGAAATGTTATTAGCTTGCAAAATTGAAACTAAATTCAGTAGTTAAAAAGATAAACAAATCAACAATTTGTGAATATTCTCAGCCCTAAAGGTGGCAAGGAGCTGACCATGGAATGAAGGCAGTCCAGGAGGCCATGGTCGTTTAAGCCTAAGTGGGAACGGAGATGGATACATAGGAAATGTTGTTAATGGCTCAATTTCCCACAGAGACACCCTAGGTTGCCTCTCTCCAGCAGTGGATTCATCCCAGCCAACCTGCAATTCAAGAGAAAGCCATATTTTAATTTCTAACATCCTTTCTTGATAGATAGAAACTCTATATGAAGCAACATTTTAGATATCTTACACCTGAGATACAAGATGCCGGCAAACTTAATTATATAACTTGAGTGAAATATCAAGTGTTTCTTTTCATACCTTGACCGAGCGCCAATGTGAGTTTGGCCAACGTACAGGATCCAGGTCACTAATGCCAGTTATTGTACCCATGTATCTTCACAAGAAAGGCAAATTAGTATTACATAATTACATTACAAATAAGTATCATTAACTCTACAAAGTGACTGGCCATACTTATCCCAGCAAGAAGTTTAGTCAACAAAACTTTATAGCTGGGATTACTATGGATTCTAGTTCAGAACAAGAAGCACACACTGAAATCCATGTCTCTTTTATTCATTGTAAAGGTCATACTTTAAGGTGGAATGTACAAATATTACCTTACTTTTAGACAAGGTTGCATCTTATATGCACATATGTTGAAGCATAGAAAAAAAAGCCTCCAACTTGTTTAACAAATTGAACATGGAACAAGAACAAAAGAAAATCCCTTACACTCACCTACTATTTGTGATTTTAATGCATAAAAATATGATTAATGTTCTTTATGTCATCGTAATTCTTAAAACATTTAGGTCCCTAGCAGCAACTAGCGTCAGAGTATTAAAGCACTTCTAAGAAAATTACAATCACTTTTCAAAACAAGCCAAACACCACCTGCAAATTTATGCCAAGACTTATGGCAGCATGGAAAAGACAACCACGTTTGTTTTAAAGTCATTTTAGATTTTATCCTTAACTTACTAACATATCAAACATAAAATCGGAAGTGTTTATACAATATCATTTTCAAGAACAGAAGTTTTAAAAACCTACCGCCGCACACTTGATTCCTCTGTTTCAAATAGCATCCTGAAACGCATACCAACTGAAACTCGAGTGTGATACACAGCTTTTACGTACTTTGCTAAAGGAATCACAAATTCTGATGGGCTAGCACTAAATTAATAAAGAAAAAATATTGTTAACCAAAGACAATATATCATGACTTGAAAGTTTTACAGAAGTGTGCTACTTACCGAGGATTATAGAAAATGGTGAAACGACTATTTGTTGCAGCTGCATGAGCTGCTGCAGCAAGAAGCCCCAAGTGCATACTATCACTTGACAACACTGAAGAAGGCATCACAGTTTGTGGTCGATTAGCACGACGGATACCAAGAAGCAATTGGTTCTTTTCATTCCTATCAATGAAAATGCACTTGAGTTACATGAGACAAGATATCACAATTATTATCAAAACTAATAATTCTCATTATAATATCACAAAGCACGCAGATATAAGAAATAAGAAGCATCCACACATCTTAAAGCCTGATCCGCATGTCAACAACAATTTTTTCAGTATATTGATATATCTTTTGATTTTTTAAATGACCAAATGACATACCAGTCACATGGCCTGGTACAAGGTGACAAGCGAATCAATCACATAAATACCAAGGGGAGAAGTTTAAATTTGAAATGATGAGAAAATCTGAGGTTGAGGTGCAGAATAATATTTAATGCTGCCCAGAATATAGCAGCAAGCCATTTTGGTGAGCAGGTAACAATTAAATTACTTGCCAGATAAACAGCACAGAATCACCAGCAACGAGTCTTTTAGCACTCACAAAGACACTCCATCCAGTCGTAAGTAGATGCCTTTTGGGCTGACCTGCAGGGGAAAAAATATAAAAACCAAGTTTAACATTCTAAAAAAACTCTGCACTTATTTTCAGCTCATAGCAAGAAACATAGAAGTCTCAAAGTGACAGCAAACTTCCCACATTTGCAATCAAATAGCATGAAACTCAGCTTTAACTCACCCCGGAAAATGTGCCTGAATTTCCATTCATTACCATGCAAATCCCTTGCAATCAATTCTTGAGCAGGAGGTTGTTGGGAGAAATCCTACAGGTCACAATCATAAATTTAAGATTTGAGAAATTAACAGATTTGATGAAAATGTATGAACTTTTGGACAAAGGTTTACCAATGGGGGAAACACTTTTTCAGCTGCCCGGCGAGGTACAGAGAATCCCCCGTGAGTGCTTGTATCACTGGCAGTCAAAGTTTTGCAGAAATAGTTTGTTGGTTGTTTACTTGGAGTGCCCAACTCTGCTGGCAGGTAGGCCTCCTTTTGCTCTTGCTGCAGACATGGTCATAGTCAAAAGATGAATAATGAATATAAAAACTGCAAAACCAGTTATCATTAAAGACAGTGTTTCATACAGGACTCAGAGGTTGCAAGGTCATCTGTGCGTACACTTCATCGGTCTCAGCATCAGCCTGAATCCCAAATGAAGAAACCAATAATTAAAGACAAAGAGAGTGCTGGAACTAACGAATGGAAAAATTGAAACAAGTGGAAGACAAAATAAACCAGTCTTGCTATTATAAACAAAAAATTAAACAAATCATACATGCATAGTCATATTATGAAGTTGACAAATAAGTTGAGGAGGTAAGCTTGGATAGTTTGGGATATGGGCATCTACTTCCTTGTTTGTTGAAACAGCCACCTGAGTAGAAAAAGTGCCAAGTTAGGAAATACACATGCGTATAGTTTGTGCAATAGAGAGAGAGATGCTATAGAACATAAAAAGTTCTTGTGCTGGTTTCTGGGAGGTAAGCGTAGTTACTTCATTTCATTAAGTTAATTCATTAGGCTGCAACAGTTCAAAACTAAAAAAGTTTAACTTTGGAACCAGTTAAGTATAAATATACACGAGTTGCCAGAGTGAAAGAAAAAACAGGTTTTGCTAAACAAAAGTGTAACAGTGACCCCATCCTCCAAATTAGTAGAGCAATACGGAGACAGAGACAACAGACAAGGGTAGCATCCTTGTGCCCAGAAACTAAAGATTCGCACTATTACTTTATTCTCACCATTAGAAAAAGAATGTTAGAAGAGTGTCCACAAGAGTAGTAGCAATACAATAATCTAACACCATATTTTACTCACTTGTTCACTGTGACCTTGTGGAAAGTATACCACGCGGCTTCCAACTGCTGGTAAAGAGACAAGGGGACCAGCACATGCATGCCAAAGTTCTGAATCTAAAACTCGCTTTTCCCCTGCAAAATCCATCCCAATGTCATCAATATGGAATAGAAAAGGTCTTCACCTTGTCTCAAAGCACAAATTGATTTTGGCATACTTTGCCAAATCCAAGATCTCAAAACAATTAACCAAATCCCAGAAGAAGTGCTTATTTGGCAAATAAATCCAAATTACTTTTTCTGATCTCTGAGTTATGGTATAAACAAGAGAAACCTTAGCCCAAATGGTTAAAATTCCACACCCCCACCTCAAAATTTGTAGGCATCCAAGTTAAACATAAGAAAAAGCTTCAAAGACTTTGCTAGACATATTAACACAAAAGGCAAAAATGCGTAATCACCAAGGATTGAGGTTGCAATAACCAGTTCCAGAAAAGCTGAGTACCAAATACAAAGAAGAAGAAATGAAAAAAATAAAGGAAGAAGAATCTTAAAACAAGTGGTAACATACCTTCCTGGGATGGAGGACTAAAACCAGCTGAAGAAAGTCTCATTTGAGCAAAAGATTTAAGCAAAACTGTAACCTCAAAATTGAGCCAACAATCAGAACACTCTTAAGCAGACCAATTAAGCAACAAAATTGTCAGAAAATGACACCCTCCACCACAAAACAAGCCTTTAGTCTCTTCCTTCCCACTGCAGAATAACATTCTTTGTCCCAATAATTTTCACCCCTTCACCAACCAAAACCCATCAAAATCTAAAATATACCCACTAGATTCCCACCGTCCAGTCCTCAACCAAAACCAGTATCACAACAAAAGACAATTGCTTTACGCCTCATTCGCTTCTAATCTTGCTCAACCCCCAACACCCCAAGTTGCAATCCTCAACCGAGTTCTTCATTACACACGACCTTAAAGAACTCGAACAAGAGCACACGTGGGTTCTCACAACCAAATTTAGCAACAATCTGAAAGAGCAAGAAAAAAAGAAACGTGAAAAGAACAGATCTCAGGGAAAGAAGGGATCTTAGAAGGGGAGAAGAGAGAGAGAGTTAATGGATCGAATATTTAGTGTGTTGATTATGATGGACACCAAAAGAAGAGACAGTGTTGTGTTGGGTAAGGAGTACAAAATTCAGAGTCAGGTTCTTAGCGTTTGGCTCATTTCAAGTAATGGAAAAATGGGAAGCAGTGGTTGTGCTCTGCGATTATGGTTATGGTTACGGTGCTGATGCTACTACTAGTTACTTGTGACCATGCTACTATTGCTTTACTCTCTCTCTCTCTCTGCTCCAATCAATCAGAACGCAACCGCCATTATTTTGGGGTGTCCTTTTAAGAGGGAGAAAGAAAGAGTGTGTACGAGTGTCACATTTTTTCTAGAGAGAGAGAGGGTTTCACAATTTTGCATTTTTATTATTATTACTTTTCGTGCCCACGACTTCATTTTCAGACAATCAAGGAGGGAGATTTACATTTGACTATAGATTTACTGTTTTCTCCTCTGCCACCCTCGTACTTATAGATTGAGCTTTCGTATTAACTTTGATTAAATTACAATGAAAGAACCACACAAAATTATAACAACATTTTAAATCTCACTTATTAGTGTTTCAAGGTATGTTTAATGCGGTGGGAAAAAAATTTGAGAAAAGGGAAATTAAAGAATAAATACTCATTTATTAAAAATTATATTGATCATATATTTAAATATACTTTTAATATGTTGATGCGTATTTATTTTAAATAAATATAAAAGAAATAACAAATTATGATATGACATTATTGTATTTCTTGTTAACTGAGAGGTAAAATAGGGGAATGACAGTCATTCTGACTGCTTTTAAGTATGGAGAGGAAGTTGAATCATTCATGTATGGTTGGACTGCGAAAGATGTTTGAGAGAAACTTATTCATCTTGATCTTTAGTTTCATTTTTTTAATATAGGTTTTTTTAATATAATCTATCTATTTAGAATGTTAGAAAAGTTTTCCATTAAAATATTTTATTCAGAATGATTATCTGAAATTTATGAAAAAATACAAACAATTTTTTTTCTAAAATTTTGGTGTTAATTTTAAATTTATTTTGTATAAAATCTTATATGATTTTTTTTTTCTTGTGACAAAATAAATCAGGGTGTCAATCTTACTACTCTGAGTGCTGAGAAAAGAATCAAATAATAGCCTTCTCTTGAACAGTAATTTAAACTTAATGTGAATAAAGCCATATCTAACTTTTTTGGATTTGTCAGCTATAGGGGTCTCATCTAAGACATGAAAGAAAAACTTGTAACTGAGTTCTGCAGTATTAAGTTATGAAGAGTCCATTAGGGTTAAAGTTAATGATTATGAAAAGATTTCAGCTTATTTAAATTGAATGCGACTCTAAAGAGGCTATCGTCTTAATTGTCAAATGTTATAACTAAAATCATCACTTGTTCTTTATTAATGAGATTAAGAATTTATTATTGAGGATTTAGTTTATTAGATTTAATCATATTCTTAGAGAAGCTAATAAATATACAGATTGACTTACCAAGTTTATGATAGATTGTGGACACTTTTTTAGTATTTTGATAAAGTTTTTTTTACTTTACTTCCTCTTTTAAATCTTAGATAATGGAATACCTGGTATTTTAGGGATAACTGTTAGTTCTTTATTTGTTTTTGAGTTTTATTAACCTCTTTTATTAGTAAAAAAAAATTTACTGTAAAGCTTTTTTTTCCTTAAGGTGACTTTGTTTAAAATAAAATCTATAACATTAATTTTTTTTAATATTTATCTTTAGAATTAATTTTAAGTATTTAAAATAATAAAATCTAATAAAATTATTTCATATGTTCTTAGTAATTATTTTAACAAAGACATTTTTTATATACAAGTCTAAAATTTTGATACCTTGATAGATCGAACATGTATTGTTCATATTTTTTTTTCAGTTACTTTTAAAGTAGTATAAAATTATTTATCTTAATATTTTATAAAATTAAAATTATAAAATATAAATTAAATTATAGATGCACGATTTTAAAAAAATAAAAATAAAAATATTATCCGACTGTGCTTGTAGAATTGTTATTGTGTAGGGAAATTGTAATGCCAACTTTGGCAGGAACCGTCGTTTATGATCAAGTTGGGGCAAATGCAAAATCTAACCGCAAAGTGCTTTGATTTTGACAATGCAATGAGCCAACAAGAATTATAGGGTGGGAGTGAGTGGGAGGAACATAGCAGCGCACATTTTTCTTTTATCCACTGTGATTCAAGGAAAATGCTACTAATAACATATTTTAATATATTCTCAATTATTAACTAAAATTTACTCAGAATTAAAAAAAAAACACGTGAAATTTTTTTTCACTTTTATTTTAATTTAATGTTTTTATTTTTATAATTAAAATTGTGTTAACAGATTGTATTTTTCTTGTAAGAATACTTTATCAAAATAGTTTTGACAATATATCGAATTTGGAAGAGCAAATGCTTAGTTATATTTTCCTACCAACCAATTTACCGGACAATGACATGTTTCACAATTTTTATGGAATAGGTAATAAATTGTTATATAATTAATTAATTAATTATCGTATACGAACCTTAATTCTTACCTGAAAAATGCATGACATGACTGGGTGAAAAAACCGACGTTGTTATATTTATACATATTCGAAGGATGCTCTAAAATTTTTAAAGCAAGTTCATGTGTTATTTATTTAGGATGAGTTATTTTAAACTTTTGTTAGTATAAGTGATAAGAAATTTCAATCTTTTCAATTATCATCTCAAATTTAAGTCTTGTAAAATTTTAAAAAAAGACATACAAATAATTTTTAAATTTTCCTTCAATTATCTATTCAATTTAAATAAACTAGGATCTTACATAATTTCTAAATATTAACATTTTCAACCTAAAATGAAATATCGTAATTAAGAAGTCACACATGTTTCTTCTAATTCATTTTAAGTATATTTTGATGAAATACCAGTTTAGGACACGTGTTTCTTTTATGGAGAAATTTATTAATCAATATTTTAAAGACACTAGTAAAAAAATTAAATTAATTCTTCATTAAAATCACATTAATATACATTTGGGAATTGTAAAAGAGACTGTAGTAATAACATTTTATGACAAAATAAAAAAAGTATAGAAAAGAAAAATTCATATTTTACATGAAGAAAAATCACTAAAAAAAAGAAAGTGGTAATTTTTTTATATTATATTATATTAATGTTATATATATATATATAATTAAATAAACCTTATATCCCTCTGGTTTAACAATATATAAATAAATATAAAATATTTCAATTTAACATTTTTTCACATGAGAAAAGGGAAAATATTTCTGTGGTTTTTTTTTCTCGTTCTCTTTTTTAGTTAATTGTAAGAGATTATTTAACTAAAATAATGTTCTCAACGTTCAATCCCAATAATGGAGCTAAACCAAGATGGTAGGTAAATTTCTATTATCCTTAAGATTTTTATCTAAAATTTGAATATGATTTGTCCAAACCAATACATGTTAAGTGATTGTTTTTAGTTAAAAAAAAAAAAAGGCTTAGTAAAGTAGATTGAAAATTTAGTTATTTTATTTAAACAATCATTTCTTAGACATTTTAATTACTAATTATTTTAGAGTCATCTGTACCTTCGTCATAATTTTAAAATTGATTTATCAATTACACATGTAATGCGTATCTAATATCAATGTTTCAATCTTTTCAAATGTTTTTGTTAATTTAAGTTTTATTTAATGTTGCTGTTAGTTTTAAGTATTAATTTTTAAAAATTAAAAATATTTTTTTGTTTTACATATTTTTTAATATTATATTAAAACTTAAATTTAAATTATACAAAATATTTTTTATTTATAATTTAAGTATGTTTAGCAATAGAGTCACTAAGTTAATGAATAAAAAGGAAAAAAATACACTAATAATAACATTAGATTTATGGTAATCATAGCAATAATATTAATAATAAAAGAAATGATAATAGTAATTATATTTGTGATATACTTATAATAGCATAACAATGGTAAAAACAATAATGTCAATAATTATAATAGCAGTGATAGTAAAAATGATAATAATAATCTTAATAATAACAATCTCAATATTAAGTAATAATAGTAGTAAAAATAACGATTGTTGTAATAAAAATAGTTACTACAAGCGCAATAACTTTTTTACTAATGGTAGTTATAGTAGTGATGGTAATTAATTAATAGTAATAGTAGTTATTGTGTCTTTCAAAAGTATACTATACAACTAAAAATTCGAACAAACTTAACTGGTCCTAAATTAATAACAAATTTATAAGGGTAATCATAACTAAGCATCTATCAAACATAAATAGGATCAAGACCGAACAGAAGAAGTCTATGATCTATCTCTAGCAGCCTATTGCACTGGGTTTGGTGGCCAAACAGTGCTACTCCAAACAAACAAGACATCATGGGAAAGCCACACAATATAGACCACTCTCATTCATCAGTTTCGGTTGATTCCCTTTAACTTAGCTTGGAGAAACTTCTTGCTTGCATGTCCTAAAATCTTCACTCCCCATGCCTAACTGCTATATTGGAGCCTCTTGCATTTTGAAGGATCTTGCTTTCTAAATATTGGTAATTAGTTTTGAGTGTCAAATAAGAAGTTGGAGCAACATACCCATCACACTTATCGTGAGCTTTGAATTAATGTTGAATATTGAGATGAAGGCTGATTCACATCCATCGTCAATAATTATTGTTTCTTTGACAAATTCGTAGTTTCTATTTTTGGATAGATGTTCTCTCATTGTGGAAGCATTTTAGTCTAAGTATATATAAGTGTAGATAAACTTGGTTTTATAAAATTAATTTAGGCTAAAGTTGAGTTTAAAATGACATGTTTTAAAAAAATTATCTAAAAGAAAGTGTTTATTAAAACTTAAAATGAAATTTTCAATTAATTAATGCACTCGTTAAGCTTTGTTTAGTTTTTCCTAAACGTGATTTCAAAAAACGATGTTGAAAATCATTAAACATTATTCTTTTAAACAAAATGATCACATTTGTATTATTTAAACGTAAGTGAAACGCACAGCAAATCACACAATTTCCATCTACCAGTACATGATAATCCCTTTATGGGAACATAGGCCAAAGTCGATAACTAGTCAATTACCATCTACTAGTTCATGATAATTTGGATCTTATCTTTAACTGATTTAACACTTCACTTCAAGTATTCAACAAGGAAACCATCTATCTGCATCCTCATTATTGGTGGCATTGACCATGGCGGCGAGGAAGCTGTTCGACAATCAGCACTTTCAAGTAATGGGGCCTTTTGAAATATGAAAATCCTGTTTTGAAAACGTTTTTAACTCAAC